GTGTGTGTGTGTGTGTGTGTGTGTGTGTGTGTGTGTGTGTGTGTGTGTGTGTGTGTGTGTGTGTGTGTGTGTGTGTGTGTGTGTGTGTGTGTGTGTGTGTGTGTGTGTGTGTGTGTGTGTGTAGGGTAACTCTGGCAGAGAGGAGGTGCTCTTCCTCCGGCTGTACCTCCTCCAGAGTCTCCTCTCGTACCTGGAAGGAAACGACACTCAGGCTCGACAACAACTTTCCAAAGTACGTTTGTTTCTTATTAAATATAAATAAATGTTATTGTTGGTTTTGTTTATGTTGATATTATTGTTTTGCATCTTCAGGTGGAGGTTCTGTTCGCCCGTCTCTCTCTGGACTCGGAGAAAATGTCTCAGCTCGTCTCGCTGGGTTTCTCTGAGCGAGAAGCTCGACTCGGACTGAGAGCGACTCAGGGAGACATTCAGGAGGCCGTCACACACATCACTAACCAGAGAGAGGTACACACTCACTCACTCACACACTCACTCTCACTCACTCACTCACTCACTCACTCACTCACTCACTCTCACCACTCACTCACACACACTCACTCACTCTCACACACTCACTCACTCTCACTCACTCACTCACTCACTCACTCACTCACTCACTCACTCTCACACACTCACTCACTCTCACTCACTCACTCACTCACTCACTCACTCACTCACTCACACCACTCACTCACTCACACCACTCACTCACTCACTCACTCACTCACTCACTCACTCACGTTTAGGCCACATACCATTTTCTCTGTCCTTCAAAGTCAAAGAAGCCAGGTTTCTGTGTATTGCACTTTCCCACTTTGGCCTGAAAAGAAAAACAAGTCTGAATTATCCATCTTTATTCAAATATCATCAGACGTCAACATCCTGCAGACAGAGGCATCCTTATCTTCCAAAAAACTGTGAGTAATCGGGTTTTGTACTTTAGTAAAAGTAGAAGTACTCAGATCTTGTACTTGAGTAAAAGTAGAAGTACTCAGATCTTGAGTAAAAGTAGAAGTACTCAGATCTTGTACTTGAGTAAAAGTAGAAGTACTCAGATCTTGTACTTGAGTAAAAGTAGAAGTACTCAGATCTTGAACTTGAATAAAAGTAGAAGATCTTGTACGTAGAAGTACCAGAGTGTAGGAATGTTGTACCACATGTTGTACCACATACCATTTTCATGTTCCTGCCTGTTGGCGTCAGCTGACAGAGGTTATAGTGCTCTATCTTGTTATGCAGCATGAGGATTATTCTCTCAGAACCAGTTAAATACATGGGTCTGGGTTAGAGATCTTCCGAATTGGTTTGGCAACCGCTGAGAGCACAGCAGCCCAGTTATATGTGTCCTCCTGTTGGGGAATCATTTCCCCTGCATGTCATCTTTCGCCCTCTGACTCAGATGCTCCAGCCTTGAGCAGCCGCTACAGTATCTCCCTTAAGGAGGGGCTGCCCTAGCAGGTTGTTGTTGTTACCAGTTTATGACCGGGCAGCTCTCGGTCAGAGATAGTTATTGTTGTGGGACACCTGGAACACATCCTTCTCGGGGTGTAGATGACCCCGAGCCATAAGCGACAACAAATGTGATTCAGTGTCCTCAGCTGTTTAATCTATCTATTGAAGAATGTTGATTATCACACTCTGAACTAGTTAAATACACGGGTCTGGGGTAGAGCTCTTCAGAATTGATTGTGGCATCTCAACCGTGTGGGCGGCTGTGGCTCAGTGGTTAGTGTGCTGGACTTCGAATCAGGGGGTAGCATGTTTGAGTTCCACTGCAGTCAGCATGTCGTTGTGTCCCTGAGACACTTCACCCCAAATTGCTCCTGTGGGGATTGTCCACAGTACTGAATGTATGTAAGTCGCTTTGGATAAACGTGTCTAACAAGTAACATGTAATGTAATGTGTGGTCAGATCGTCCCCCGTGACATGTCTCCGGCCGAAGCTCCAAATAAACTGTTATTATCATGTGTACATAGCTACGATGTAGATATATCAATGAATATCTGAGGTCACAGGCTCCTCCAACAGTGCAACACAATAACACAGATAAAATAGTGCAAGTAAATACAAATAAAAGAGGATAGAAATAGTGCAAGAAGAATCTATATACAAGTAATTGGAATATTGATATGTTGCGAGCAGATGAATGTTATGGATGTTCTTTCAATTGTGTACGGTTCTTATGTAAACCCACAAGGTGCCAGTATTTGAGGGGTTGTATGTGTCCCCCTCTAATCCGTCCCTCACCTGCTTGTACCGGGCGTACAGGTAGAGCAGCTGGTCCCTCGCGGCGGTCTGGACGAGGTCCCGGACCCGGTCTGCCGCGGACTCGAACTCCCGCTGCAGGTCGTCCCCCTCCAGCCGGTCCTCCCCCCCGCTGCAGTCAAACTGATCCAGCCCCAGGTCCGAGTCCGAGTCCGACCCGGCCCCCCCGAGAGGCTCTCCGGTGTCGGGCCGGGCCGGGTCGGTACCGGAGCCCGTGGCGGTGTCCGGGGAGGACGAACCAGAAGCCATTGTTGTTGTTGTTGTTGTTGTTTTGTGTTACTGTTTTACAAGAGCGTCAGAGACCACTTGGTGTGTTGAGAAGTATGAGGACCGTTAATAAGAAGAAGGAGAGAGTCTGTCTTCAGGATATTTGTGAAGTTTTTCAGCGAGGATTTCTTCTTTTAATCCGATATCGTTAAAAGATACCTGACAGCCGGATTTGTTTCCACAGTTGGTCCGTCTCTGGTACTGTCGACTAAAAACACCGGGTGGAACACACACTGCTAGAAAGAAAGGTTCCGATTGCATCCGCGGTTATTCGTTGGTAAGAAAATACGTTATAAAAACAAAGACATATATAAATACATCTGTTAAATGTACAATTTATTAAAGCATGACTATATTTAAAGAATAGACAACACATTTTACTTGAAAGGCAAATATTGTGGTGCTTTACTCTGTGTGAAGGTTAACATTGAAAAATATTTGGTTAACGGTAATTAACGGTTGTCAGTTAATCTTAAATCAAACCTTAGCATTAAAGCTAACTGACAGGTACATTATTTAGCAGTTTGCCGACTGGTTTTTCTAAAAGGGATATTAAAATCTCTTCAGATGTAACTTTTTGCAGTTTATGTGTCTACTTACTTGGTATATTGTTCGTATGTAAAATGTATGGTCTTGTGTTTAGCTTGTTAGCTTACTTTATTTGTTTAGCTTACTAGCGTTAGCTACATGGCTGTTATGTGATGGGTTTAATGTTGCCATTTGTAGAAAGTAACTAAGTACATTTAAGTATTAAACTTATGTATTTATTTTTAAGTCTTTCCATTTAATACTTCTACTCCACTACATTTCAGAGGTGAAAATTGAACTTTTGACTACATTTATTTTAACACTCACTCACTATTAGGCTACTTTGTACATATAAAACACATGATAAACTGATATTGTAAATTGCAGAACTGTAGCTACTACTAATCTATACAATTTCAACATTATCCCCACATTGACAAACTGCAATACTAAAAATTCCTCTTACATGTATAAAACAGGATAATATAATAACCATAATAATCTTATAATGCGTTGAAAATATCCATTCTGCTTGACGAATATTTTCACTGTTTATAATTGAAGTACATTTAGGTGATACAAGAGTATTTTTAGACCATAGTATTTGTGCTTTTACTTGAGGATCTGAGTATTCTTCCAGCACTGAATGTTAAAGGTCCCATGTCATGGCCATTTCTACTGATCATTGTTGAGGTCTACTAGAATAGATTTATATTGTGCAATTTTCCAAACTCACATTGGTTTCTCATACAGCATCTCTGTATAGTATGTGTATTCACTCTCTGTCCTAAACGGCCTGTGAGCCCAGTGTGCTCTGATTGGTCGGGACGTTGCGAGGCTCGCTACTGCGAGCCACTGCTGCGAGGAGCGGACAGGTTTCCGGGTCAGCGATACAGCGAGAACAAGCCAAATTCATCCTGAGCACACACAAACACTCACAGCCGAAGTAAAAACAATAAGTGTGGCTTGATATTGAGTAAGAAAAAGGTTTATAACGCTGTGAGGATGGGTCTGCAGAGAGCGTTTCTCCACCATCACCAACTCGTCTATTACCAGCGTTTAGGGAGCTCTATGCAAGTCAATGGGGACTCCCTGTTAGTTAGCCAAGGGGTGCTGGTGTGTGAGGGGCTCCAAGGATTGGTCCATTTGGGCCAATCCGTTCATTTGTTGTTGATTTGGGTGTTCACACGTCACAGAAACCAGAAACAATGGAAAAAGAGAAATGTCCAACGAGGCGTTCTGGGGCAGCATAGACAGGTCTTCTCTGTGTTAGAGTTTTACTCACTACAGGGTGTACTTTGAGGGTTTTGACTCTGCAGACCGTTTACATGCAGAAAAACCTTCAGAACACACAAGGGGACGGGTAAAAACCTGAAAAGCATGACATGGGACCTTTAAAAAGAAAAGCCAGTGAAGTTAATGTGGCTTTAGTCGACTCAGTGTTACGCCAACTGCTCATTTAATTTGTCCAAATCACCTATCTTCTGTTATATTTCAGATGTAGTTTTTGTTTACACCTGTCATGAGGCCAGGGCAGTCCCTCCCTACAGGCCGGTCATGCAGACGGCCCTGCATGAGGCAATTGAGTCAACTTATTGATGGCAGAATGCATTAGCGCAGTTTGTCCAGCAGAGGCTGCTGTCGGCCCAATAATACATGTAACCTGCAGCAGACAGGTTGTTCCAATGCTCATTAAATCAAATAAATCAAGCCTTAAAGTTATGTTTTTATTGTAAGAAACACGAAGAAGCCCGGTCAACTTTATTTAGGATGTTTGTAGTTTGACGCTCATTACCTTTCATTGTATTCAACATAAATCTGGCGAACTTTGGAGGAATCATGGACGACATAATGAGGTCTTTTTGGAAGTAATGAAAGCCTATTATCCCTTTCCCTTGGATCTCCACTCTTCCAGATATAATCAAGAGTTCATGCAGGCCTATTAAACTGAGCATCCAAACAACCTCACTGTATTTCACTCTCATTTACAGATACATTTTTAGAAATAGGCAGACGTACTCCACAGAAAAGTTTGCATATCCATAACTTGAAAATGACTTTTAATCAGGCAAAACATAGACAAACAGATGAGGACAGCCAATCGTGATTTTACAAAGTATGCTTATATCATTATTGGTTCTCTAAATGGAGTTTGCAGTTTTCCATCTGGCAGTGGTATATCAACATATACAGTACATCAAATACCTAAAGTAAAAGTACTCATCGTGCACATTCAAGCAAACATTTAAAATGATTATTGATGCAATAATCTCTTCATCACTTCAATGTTGCACTTGGTTCAAGTAGGGTTTCTTTTGAATTACTTTATAATATATCTAGCATGTGTTAGTTGATTTAAAGAAGTAACATTTACAACATTTGCCTACAAAATCTAGTATAAAGTAGGATAACATGAACATACTCAAGTAAAGTAGAAGTACCTTAATGTTTTAGTACTTGAGTTAATGTACTTAGTTACTTTACACCTCTGCGGATGAGGACAGTCAATCATTATTGGATCTTTAAATACATTCTCAAAGATATTGAAGTGACTGTTGTTTTGTTGATTGTTGTGCTTTTATGTATGTCTTAATGTGCGCATGTGTATACATGTGTCTGTTGATTGTGTATGTATATACATATTTGCATACATATTTTTTGTTTGTTTTTGTATTCGGGATTGTGGGAAACGGTATTTGGATCTCTCTGTCTGTACACACAAACTGAAAGATTGACAATAATGTTGACTTTGACTTGAAATGGAGTTTGAACTTATTGGTTGTGACACAAAACACGGACTTCAAACTTCAAAACCTCACATCAAGTGTTTTTAATCTAACTTCTTCCTCTCTTTGCTTCCAGACACACAACTCTCCTCTCTGTGGTCTGAGTTCTCTGACTGCGCTTCCCACTCCTTTTCTCCCGGAGGTCCCACCACCACCACCTCCCCACGCGCTCTGCTGACGCAACCACGCACGCGCTGTGGCTCCACGCGCAGAGTCCCCAGACCTGCCCAGGGAGGGACGGAGCAAAGTCACTGAGAGAGAAGAGAGAACCACCGTTAAACCGCACCACCTGTTCCCAGAGAGAGACCGCTTTCCCCCCGTGAAACAGAATGAAGGGACCGGCTACTTTCGGTGCGCACTGACCGGGGAAAAGAACCAGAAAGCGCGCAGTGAAGCACCGCATGTTGATCCACAGAGTTCACTCAGATCCAAAGTCGCGTGGACAGCGAAGGGGACAGTTGGATTTACCTTTTGAGCTGTGAGGGGGACTCGTATTCTGGGGAAATGAAATTCGCGGAGCATCTTTCGTCCCACATCACTCCGGAGTGGAGGAAACAGTATCTCCAGTATGAGGTGAAGCCATTTCCTTCATTTCTTTATTGTAAAGATCAGAAATTAGAAATCAGAAATAGGTTTATTGCCAAGTAGGTGTACACATACGAGGAATTTGACTTGGTGGTGCCGCATAAACACAGTTAGAGAAGATAAAAGGTGAGAAAAACAACCACAAATTAAAAGAAAAACTATTATAAAAAACTATTATACGTTAAAAATTATTTACATGAAATCTGGATTTACCAAAAAACGACGTACAGTATATTACTGCAAAGTACTCACAATAATACAATACAATATATGCAGTATAGTTAGTATATAATGAGTGTAAAGCTGTGTACTGAGAGAGGTTGTGTACACATGTAAAGATAATGGCATGGCAGGAACTCCCTATAAAAATACCACATGGTTTTTTTTCCAAAGTGAAAGATGAGATTGAATTTCAAAACCATAAAAGCTTTTATTTGTATTATTTATTTTCTTTAGTTTCGGTTTCTTCTGCTTCTGAGAACCACAAAGCAGAAGTGATAAGGATGTCCTTTGGGTTATGGACGGGAAATGGACTGCGGGTGTTAAAAGCCACAGGGAGCATTCAGCCTTTATTGCTGTTTGCTTAGTTTCAACACCTTAACAATCAGCAGAATGAAGTGTTCACTGAACATTAGAATGGCTTTTTTTAACTGGGGAAATAACCTAAATATACAGTTTTCTGATTTGAAATGACAAATTGTGAATATTTTGGAATTTTCTATTCAATTCTTGATATTTTTTGCAGGTTTATTTTTCAAATGTCCTTATTCTCTTATAATAAATACACTTTTAAATTGATATTTAAATACATATTTCAGATTTTTTTGATCCATATCATTATTTGATGTCATTATTCAACATATTGCGAAGACTGTGTTTACAAATAAATAAAAATGGCATTGTAAGTTAGATAAATCCATCCCATAAATTCACCATCCTTTGATTTTTCTTTATTTGCATCAATCTAACTGACCACACGGGAAATTCCCATTGCATTGATTATGCATAATTGCAAATATTCCTATGTATTTAAGTGCTTTTTTGACCAGACAAAGCCATGGTATTTTTTATGTTATCAAGATTTCACTGTCCTATTTTGCACACATGAATGGTGAATGAACGTGCATGGCTTCCCGCGTCTGGTTTGAGATGTCTGTGGCTTTATGGACAGCTTTACACACACATGCTCTTTGTTTGCTGGTGTTCAGCACTTGAGGAGTGTTTCATATTCACACTTCTCGCTGGCTCTGCATTAAGAGCTTCAGTGCAGACATGCAGTGACAGGACTGGCTGCTCCATTCCATTTA